CGGGAGCGGTGGCAAAATCTTTGGCATGCCAAAGATGGCTTAAGCTCATACGATGGCTTAAGATGCCCTCACGAATGGCCCGATGTTGTTACGATCAGAGCCGAATTTGAACATTTCCTTTATCGTGTGTGCATCTGGTGTTAATTTCGGGACAGTGTGACAGGGGCTTAACCCCCATGCAGAACCTCCTTTTCAGTCGCCCACTATCCTCCTCCTCTCACTTTAACTCCTTGTAATCCGTCACCCTGAAGCACGTTTCCATCTTTAAATGCATGTACGATACCATCAGGAACATATGAATATTCAGGGGTGTTTCAGGTTAATGATTTTCCATCTGCATCTTTTGCTTTTCAGGCTATTGCAAATTGCAGCCATGGATGCAGCATCATTATTTTTCTGAGAGAGAATACAGTGAGAATGTTTAATGCGATGTGCAGAAAATATGCTAATGAGAAACATAATCGCAATTGACAAAAAGTCTTCGGACTCCTCATTAGGCCCCATGATACGTTATAATATAAAATGCACCACAGAAGCAAGAGGAAGGGAAGCTCTTCTCTAAACATACTCTTAAAATGTACTTCCTGTTAAATAAAATAGATTTGTCTATTAACTACTCGTCATAGCAGTCATGTTGTCCTCTCTCCTTGTCATCCCCTTTTATATAACATGCATATGTATTATTTATAGGCTTATCAGTACAGCCCTGCTGACAATTCCTTATATATAACATTCATATTTTATGACTGTGTTTCCTGCTTGAGGTTTGATTAAAGTGTCCTTCTTGCTTCAGGAATCCAACTACTGCTGAGGAATTGGCCACTGAGGAGGCCTTAATCAACAGGAGTGTGTGTGTGCGAGTGTGTGTGTAAGAGAGAGTGAGCGACTGAGCCCCTCTCTCATTTCCTTTTTTTTCCAAAGGGCTGAAGGAGACAGTTTGGGGAGGGTGCAGATGATACTGCAGTATAACACAGAGCCAAATGCAAAGCCATAACAACAGCTGTTAAACTTTTCTCTATAACAGTGGACTTGTTGCAGCTAGTAGATGCATCTCTTTTACATATATTTACCTTTACTCAAGTATACTGTAATTAAAGGGGCCTTATCATGCTCATTTTCAGGGTCATATTATATGTTGTGCCTCTAGTAGAGGCACAACATATAACATATGTAGGCATATGTAGGCATATGTAGAGTCTATGTCTCCATGCTTTAATGTTCACAAAGCTCTTTATTTTCCTCATACTGCCTGTGCTGCAGCACCTCTTTTCACCCTCTGTCTGAAACCAGAGCCCAGTCTGCTCTGATTGGTTAGCTGGCCGGCTCTGTTGTGATTGTCAACCGATAACAGACATCCCTCCCCTTAGCCTACCACGTACAATGTGTCGGAGCACTAGCCAAGCACTATTTGCGTTAGTGTTAAATAGTGATGTTATTATGTTACATAACTAAACAAAATAATCCAATGGAGGTGTTTCAGGCGGGGGGGGAGAGAAACTACTTTTGCAGACCATTTACATGCACCAAAACCTTTATAAGACACCACTACACCTAAAAAACCTGATTAAACCTGCACTTTGTTTGACATTAGATTGGTCTTCAGCTTTTTTGTTTTTCAGTCAATGCTCCAAAAAGAATTACTATCACATTGTTTAAATTAGGAGCTATACTGAGCATACGTTGTAATACGTCCATACCACACATTCTCCACTGATATCATCAAGGTTAACAAAACCACCTGACTATTTCGATATTACTTTACAAAATATAATTAGGTAACATAATGTTAGCTGATCTTTGCCTCATTGATTTTACAGGCTTGTTGCTAAGTCTTTCTGCAATTTGCCTCTGGCTGGCTAGCACAGCGCATTTGTTGTGCTTTTACAGCTGTAGATGTTAATGAAAACATTAATAATATCCCCAGCAATAAACACAGTAGTCCTCGGGTGTGTTGTAATGTTATGATCTCTAAACTAAATGTTAGGATATCTTAAAATGTTTTGATGTTTTCTTTTACAAAACCCTTTTTATGCTAGCTGGACTTCAAGCCAAGATTTGTTTCAAGACATATCATTAGTTAGATAGTTAGATGTTAGTTTAAAGTGACTAAGGCTTTATGTAAGTTTGTTTCCTTAGGATTATAAAATAAATGTGTTTGCTTAAAGTTTTAATATGAACCACTTAACAAATATATAGTATTTTTAATGAAAATTCATCAATGTTTTTGGACCACAAACTAGCAGACCTATCAAAAAATCTGCTCTTGCAATGCATAAAATATCCATTTATATTCTAGAATATCATTGAAAGATGATCAGGTGACAAATGTACAACAGTGTTTCTTTACATAAATTGTTTTAAAGTATTTATGCTGTACGAAGATATTGCAGACTAAAACGATTTGGTCTTCACTGAAAGCCAAGGTAAAATGAGGCTGAAAAATGCTGTGGTGTAAGGCTAATGGAACCCCTCTGCTTTTTAAGATCACTGCCAGCAACATTAATGAGCTGTTTTAAGGATAGAGGAAACTTCCATTCCTATAATTTAAAGAAAAAAGGTAAAGTAAAGCCAATATATCCTGTACGGAAACAGCATATTAAATTACAACATCACAGGGTTCAGTTCCTTAGGTGCTTTCATTATGCCGATCATGGAATCTGTTTAAATCACTCTCTACAACACTATTGGTTTTACAGCTACCAACAGACAATGTATTTCATAAGTCTATAGAAGGATAGATAGAGATAGATTAAATGTAATTTCTTATTTTTTTTAAAGAATATACTTGTTTTACATTCCTAGTTTGAGGGAGGAAGTAAAGTCAGTAAAATGCTGCAGGTGCAATCTATCCTGCCAGTTATTCTGTGTATCTGATTTTGTTCTCTTTCCCAGGACTTGGTCTGTTTATCTGAGCCAAGAGCCAGACCTCTGTTTACCACCCAGCGTTATTGGTCTCACTATGAAATTCAAATCAATATCCTCATAATAAAAGTCCCAGGCCTGCAGCAAATTGGAATCTGTAGCTTGGAAAGCTAAAGAGATCTATGGCACTGCCAAGGCTGCACTAATGAATGATGAATCACTGCAACACACACAGCAATACATTTGCACACTCAGTAAACCTGCACAGGTACCAGACATCCACGCCCACAAAGAATGCTTACACACAAATACACACACACATACGCACACCTGTCCAGTTACATAGTCGGTCATTCAGGCCGTTGTGGAACATGACTCCCTCATCAATTATGGATGATTAACAGGATCAGTGCAACGCCGCCATTGTTTCACTAGACACAGCATTTCCATAGCCCTGCTACTGTGTTTACAGTTATTGGCTCTTCAGGGAAACAGAGACACCACGAGCATTGAATCCATCTCAGCATGAAATTACAGGAAAATAATTTCTTTAAACTTTGAACTGTGAATTTATTTTGTCATCTAACTTTAACTTCCAAGTTGTGGAAGTATGCTGTGTTCAGTATCATTGATTTAATGAGTTTTAATGAAGGAGGCCCTATTATGCTCTGTGGGGTTTTCCCTTTCCTGTTATGTGTTGTATACTGTAGGTTTTTGTGTATGGTCCGCAAAGACTAATATCCCATTGATACCTCCGGAGGGAGTTCATCCCCCACACAGTCCCCCCCTGCCTCAAACACCTCAATTGTAATTCCTCTGTTTAATTTCATAACGTGGTGACATCACAATGTGACACTTGTGATTCTATTGGCTAGCGCTCCAACACATTGTACGTGATTTGCTAAGGGGGGGAACTTTGCGACACATCCCTAAGCGGTTGACCAATCACATCAATGCTGGTCAGCTAACCAATCAGAGCAGACTGGGCTGAAAAGAGGTGCTGCAGCACAGGCAGTATGAGAAAAATAATGTGCTTTTTGAACATTAAAGGGGACCTATCATGCAAAATGCACTTTCTGATGTCTTTTCTACATAGATATGTGTCCCCGGTGTGTCAGGAGACTCACGCAGCATCAGCAAATAAACCCTCTCTCTTTTCCTCCGTACCCAAAACTCTAAAAACAGTTACAACGGAGCTGATCCAGATTTGCGGCCGATATAACGTCATATCGGCGGCAGACCCACAGCACTATCAGAAACATTGCTATCAGAAACAATGTCTGACTATTTTGGAGGTAATATGGTCGGTGTTTACATTAACATCGCTAACACTCAGAGCTAACCTGTACTGGATAGAGCATGTCTGTGAAGAAGCAGGAAATAAAAAGGAACTCAACCTGTGGTATAACCGGCAAGAGAGAAAGCTTAGCTCCATACTGGCCGTTTCTCAATGTCGAGTAAAGCTGCTAGAAAGCCACTATTTCAAGTATACTACGTCATCGAGTGGCGCCGAA